TTGTACAGTTTTGCTGCTTATTAATTTTTGAAAAACCTTAAGGTCTTGAATTCTAACAATCTGTCCCTTAGAGGAGAAGGAGATGGTTTATTGTGTCATTTTTCCAGGCTCAGTGGGCTGGTGGTGCCAAAAGCTAGGAGATGGATGAGTCAGGGCCATGTTGCTAGGGGACAACACTGTATTACCCGACTCTAGGCTGATCACAGCAAGGGGAAGTCTCCCTATGTGGCCTCCTCATTTAAGGCTTTTTGCCAGGAACACAGAGTGAACTTTTAATTTGTTTTGGTTAAGTGCCAACGACTCACTCATGTTTGGGAAATTGAAGTGAGCATGGGCAGGATACAGAATGCTGTATGTACCCTATTTCTCCACATATGAGATGCCAAAGAAAGCCAGAGGTACACTGTCAGAGGAGTGGGCAGTGCTGGCCAAAAATGTGTGCGCCTCTCATAGAAAACACACTTGTATTTTATCAGCGTGCAGAAAGAGGAGTGCTTTAGTACTACAGACATTTGGATCCAAATGCTACTTCCACCTCTTTGGCGTGTAACTCTGAAATGTTATATAATAGTCTTACTTCTATTTTTGTTTGCATAATATAATAGCAGATTTATTCAACTCAATGGGTGGTTATGAGAATCAAATGAAAGACTATGTACAAGCTACCAAGAATTAGTATTTGTTGAAAATGATATACTTTCCCAATAGAATATCTTTTCTGGAGTGTTGAGTATTTCTATACATCTCTAGGCCTGTCGATTGGTTCTTTTCAGTGTGTGTACCAAGTGAAATTTGTCATTGGAATATTGAAACTAGGAATAAATTCTTGGAATAACTCCATTTTGAGAAAGATAACTCAATCTGTCACTTGTCTTTTTGCTCAACAGTGTGCCATGTAAAAAGTGTGTGGTGGTTGGTAATGGAGGAGTTTTGAAGAACAAGACATTAGGAGAAAAAATAGACTCTTATGATGTAATTATAAGGTAAATGTATTTTGTATTTGCTAACCTAGAAGTGTTTGAAAATAATATGGTTTCCTACGTTAAGACATCTGTTTTTAATAAAACAATTTGTTTATGTACTTGATTATACAAATTTTGTTCTTGTTTGATGTTAGAATGGAACCTACAAGTTCCTGGTGTAGCAAGTATTTGTTACATCCCCTTAATGTGCTAGGCACAATTGGAGCCACTGAGGTGGCCGCAGTGGATCAGAATAGTATTCTTGCTCCCTGTGGAAGTTTTGTTGTCATTAAGGTAAAAAAATGATTTAAAATAGACAAGAATATAATTATTGTCATTTTGACAATCAGAACAAGATATGATAGGGGACAATTGAGGATCTTGTTGGGAATGGGTGAATACTTTGAGAAGATATTTAAGTTGGACCTAAGTGACCATCTGAAGCAGAGAAAATATTTACCACAGGCTCTCCTCAAATTTGGGGAGGGGAGGGAAAAAAACATATTGCAACAATGAGATGTACAAGATGCTATGTCAAAAAATAAACCTACGATTTAGGCGGGAGGTGGGGGGTGGATGGGAGTAGGGTGGGTGGGGTTGGGGAGGGGGGTGTAGTTGAGGAGGTGTGAGGGACAGGATGGTAGGGGGAAAACAAAGGAGGCAACAATGCTGGATAAGAAATGTACTCATTACCTTGCTCGTGTAACTGTAACCCCTCTGTACAGTAGTTTCACAATAAAAAAACTTATTTAAATAAAAAGAAGATATGATCCTGAGTTTGTGAGGAGTGGCAGAAAACTTAGTGAGATAGGAGGGCAGCCAGCTTGGGGAGAATGATATAGTAAGTTGCTAAGAGGTAAACAAAGACCAGGCTGTGTAGGAGGACTTTGTAAATTAGGATGAGGAGTTTAGATTTTATATGCAGCGGGAAGTTTTTGAAAGTTCTAAAGCAAGACGGGAATGTAATATTATGCTTTTAAAATATTCTAGCTACAGGATAGACAGCAGAACATGAAGGACCGGGGTGGAAATGAGGCACCTGATAATTCAGATAGGAGGTGATGATGGCTTGTGACAGGATGGTTATGGAGAGAAGTAGGTAAAGGTAGGTCAGTGGGCAGACTAGAAATGTTATAGATGAGGGTTATCAGTATTTATTGTTGTACTAGCTATCAGGACTAATAAGAATAAAGGAACCAAAGATGCCTCTAACCCTGCTTTTAGTTTAAGAAATTGACTAGAAAGTGATAACATGTATTGAGTTTGGGCATGCAGGAGTAGGAACAGGTGTAGAGGAAAAGCTTTCTGTAAATGAATGTTAGATTTGAGATACTTATGATATATGCAGTGGGCAAGTAGGCAATTGGATCAGCAAGCTAAAGTTTTCATGGTGAATGGCTTAAGAGCTGTGTTTACACCATGAGTTTGGTGAGAGTCCCAGGAACAGGATTGAAGTTTGGAGTGTTCAATACTGAAAAGTGGTTGCGCAAAGAAAAAGAAGTGAGCAAAAGGAATAGAGGCTCCACCAGTGAGATGAGACGTGACCACAGAAGCTAAGAGAGGACACCCAGCTCCCAAGGGTAATGAGGAAACAAAACATGAACAAGACAGAGAGGCTTGTCAAGCTGGAGCATATTGTCTTTCTTGACAAAACAGCCTTTCGGCATAATATGGCAAGAACCCAAACTGGAATGGGTTGAAGAGAGATGGACAGATGAGGAGATAGAGAAATCAGTACTCTCAACTCTTGAGAAATTTTGTTCTGAAGAGTTTAAAATGATCTGGTAGTTGGAAATGCTTGCACAATCAAGGAAGATACTTGTCTTTTCTTTTGTGGATGTAAACAATGCTAGGGAATATTGTGAAACTGATAGGAATGTAGAGAAGAGACTGGAGTGGTGAAGAAAAGAGGGTTTGTGTCCAGAACATGTGTGTGGTTAATGTTTTGTCATGGAAAGGAGAGCCAGGATTGTGCTTATAACTACTAGGAATCTCTGAGCTGTTGTGGTGGGGATATTTCTTAGTGGAAGGTTGGCCTGGGTATTTGTGTTAGATATGAATAGCCTTTTGTGGGAAAGCTAGCACACTGGGGCAACATGGTAGGATGGCCTGGCGTGACCTGGAGGTTTTGTTAGATTCCAAGCTCGTTTAGACATAGCAAAGCAATCTGACTTTCTGTTTATTACCCATTCGGATTATTGAGGCTACCAAACAATTTCAAAGTTTTCACAAATTTCTCTATCTAAAACCATCTAGTTCTGATGATTTAGGAACATGGCAAGCCCTTGTGAGGAAAATATAGATACATTTGGAAATCATTCAGTGTGCTATTGAAACAGCCTCATGCTATAGTCTTACATTACAGTCAGTGGCAAAGATCAAGACCGTATTTATCTTCCTAAGGGACACTGTTCTGGAAACAAAAAGCATTCCCTTTTTATAGCATGCCTTCATAGTGTGTGCTTTTAAATAGGGCATGTCTAACCTTGGCTTTGAGCAGACACAAACTTAGCAGTGGATCTTTGCAATTCTCCAGTGCAATCTAGCAATGGACATTCATTTGGTGGTAGAGAGGATAATATAGCAATTTGTACTGCTTCATTTCAGAGCACTAGTTGGATGGGTTTTCTTTAAAAAATATTTTATTTTGGATGGCTTTTCAAGCCACAAGTGACCAGACGAAGCAGAGAAAATATTAATAGGATCCCGAGTTTGTGAGGAGTGGCAGAAAACCTAGTGAGGTAGGAAGGCAGCCAGCTTGGGGAGAATGATACAGTAAATGGCTAAGAGGTAGACAAGGACCACTTACATGTAATTTTTCTTGCCTATCAGTTGCTTAGACACATGGCCATGAATTGCAATGTAGACTCTGTAACTGTGGGTATAGTAGAACTCTCTCTGGACTTCAGGGTTGTTGTCAATTGACGAGGCTTTGTGTGGTGGTCCCTTAACTTTATTCTGTGGTTTTCTTTTATTTAGTCTTCAGTTTTCCTATGAGCAAGTATCATTGGTTCTACTGTTGGTTTTCAAATACAAGTGACTATTTTTGCCTCTGATCAAGTATAAAAAAAGGAGTTATGTCTTTGATCATTATTTGTAAAATTCTGACCAATTATCTCGTAGTTTCAAAGTATTGTTGTTTGGTCTAATCCTGAAGGTGGTAAGAATTGTGATGAAAATGGCTCCTCCTCCACTTGGTCTACATGTCTCATGTCTTCCTACCCACAGAATGAATAATGGTCCTGTTTTAGGGCATGAAGAGGAAGTTGGGAGAAGGACAACCTTCAGACTATTTTATCCAGAATCTGTTTTTTCAGATCTCAATCACAATGATCCCAACACCACAGCGATTCTTGTTGCTTTTAAGCCACTTGATTTAAAGTGGCTGATGGAATTGTTGGCAGGTGGAAAAATAGTAAGTTGGCAAAACTGATCTGTCTTCAGGCAACCTTCAGTATTCTTTCCTTAAAAAAAAAGCACAAAAGACTACAATGCTCTATTTTCTATATTCATTTCAGAATACCAATGGTTTTTGGAAGAAACCAGCCTTAAACTTAATCTATAAGCCATATCAAATCAGAATATTAGATCCTTTCATTATCAGGACAGCTGCTTATGAACTGCTTCATTTTCCAAAAACATTTCCCAAAAATCAGGTATGTATGTCTATTTCCATTTTTTTTCAAACTGAAGATCCAGCTGGAATAGCATAGAGACTTTGCTGAAGATTGCAGAAACTATGGGGAACTGGCTCATGTGGTAGTTTGAGGTCCGTATCTGGTGAGGGGGAGCTTCCTTTCTCTTCATCCATCTACTTCTTCAGACACCTCGTCTTTAGTGTTGCACAGCACTACTACAGAGAGTCTAACTGGGTGGGCTGAAAGATGAGCTTGTGCCCAGAGTTGTAGAACAGAATTTAGTGCAAGTGTGCAGGACACAGCTTTCCAGGCTAGAATTTCATTAGTATTTGCTATATTAGTAACCTTCATGTTTCTCTAATGAGATATCTGCAACATGATATTTATGAAGAAAAGGTTTATTTAGCTGTGTTTGGAAATTCTTCAAGTGCACACTGGGTGGCTCCGTGCTTTGGATGTCTGGTGAGGGTGTAGGAGTGTATGTCAGAGCAAGTGCTTATATCTCAAGCACGGAGACAGAAAGGGAAACAACTAATTCCCATCATCTTTGTAGGGTCTTACTAGACTTTAGCTGGCACTCTACCACTTGAGCTATTGCTCCACTTTTGGCTTTTTGGTAGTTAATTGAAGATGAATGTTTCATGGACTTTCCTGCCTAGGCTGGCTTTATAACTGCAAGTAACTAGGATTACAGGTGTGAGCCACCAGTACGTAGCTTGTTTTGTATTTAAAAGAATTCCAGCAGGATCCTCTTCCTTATACTTCAAGTATCTCTTCACCTGATGGCTGTTTTCTGAGTTAGTATTGCAGCTAAATATTATATTTGAAAGATTTTCAGTTTATATTCAGTCTGAGTTTATGTTTCTACAGGAGTTTTTGTTGTTGTTGTTGTTTTCTTCTAGAGTACAGTGTACTATTTGGAGCTTCAGTCTCATGACATGATGAAGGCTTAACTATTTCCCTTTTAATTAACTGTTCCATGTTTATTTGTTTTTTTAAATAAGTCTAGGACAACCGAATATATTTTGGAAATAAGTAGCTCATTTGGGATTAAGAATTTTGCTTTCCATTTCCCTTTAGAAACCCAAACACCCAACAACAGGGATTATTGCCATCACACTGGCGTTTCACATATGTCATGAAGTTCACCTAGCTGGTTTTAAGTACAACTTCTCTGACCTCAAGAGCCCTTTGCACTACTATGGGAATGCCACCATGTCTTTGATGAATAAGGTAATATACATATCATTTAAGGTAGCATACAAATACTTTGGCCTGTTGATCTTTGCGGTCAGAAAGCCTGTGTTTCTCTTTTTTACTCTCTCATTTTACTGAGGGAATTTTGAGGATTTGATGGGAGTTCCAGACTACCCAAGATTGAAAAGACAAATCAGGCCCAGAGTTCATTTTACAAGAGCAATTCCTAATCTGTGGAATTCAGACTCTCTGAAGAAGCTCATAGTTACTGCCAAGTACAATCAAATCCATATAGGGACTAAGCTTTATTTTAGACACTTTCTATTTGCTGTTGTTTAAATATGAAACCTTCTGTTTGAAATATACAAATTCACTAAAATGCATGAATTGCTATATGCATAGTAATGATTTTCATATTTTCCTTTGTAAAGTAGACAAGATGGCCTAGACCAATCCAAAATCGTAAAAGAATATGAATTGCCAGGAAGGTGGAACACTTACTTGATCATGTGGTCACAAAGAGAGATAAATACTGGCAGGTTTGATCTTGAATTTTTATTTTCAATGACTGAGATGGAATTTCCTTTATAATTCTCTAGATTAGTAGTATGCCATATATATCAGGATTAAATTATTTGTGTATTTTAAATATTAAAATGTGAATGCTTTGTTGTATACATATGACTCTCATGAAGTCAGTCCCCCTTTAAATCATCCCAAATACTGCATAGGACTAGGAAGTAGTACTAATGAGGTTGAGTGTTATTTATTTTTGCCTGACCTGGGGCTTGAATTCAGGGCCTGGGTGCTGTCTCTGAGTATCTTTGTGTTCAATGCTAGCTCTTTATCATTTGAGCCACAGTGCCAATTCTGACTTTTTTGAGTTTGTTGGAGATAAGAGTGTCATGTGGACTTTTTTGCCTGGGCTGCCTTTGAACCGCGATCCTCAGATTTCAGCCTCCTGAGTAGATAGAATTACAGGCCTGAGCAGCTAGAATTATAGGCCTAATTCACCAGAGCCAGGTAAGGTTGGTTTTTGTCATCTCCTACCTCACCCCCAGCTCTTTCACACAATGTGTTTCAAACACTTGAGTAGTTCCAGAATTATGGCCAGAACAGACTTTAAATGTTTCATTTCTCCTCAACCCAAATCCTTCCTCTAGCACTTGTGATATTTCAAGAATTCTATTAGGAGGCTGAGATCTGAGGATTGCAGTTCAAAGCTAGCCTGGGCAGGAACATTCATGAATCTCTTATCTCCATTAGAAAACCGTTAAGTGTAGCTGTAGCTCTGGTAGAGTGCTAGCCTTGAGCAAAAGAAGCTAAGGGACAGTTCCTAGGATGTGAGTTCAAGCCCTGCAACCAACAACAATAACAACAATAAATATATATATATACATATATGTATATATATTAGATTAAAACTATTTCCTGGAGAAGATTAGGGTCCCATCAATAGAATCACATTTTTAGTTCTATTTTTGCTGTGCTGGGGATCAAAACCCATGTTATACAGGTTAAGCAAGCATTTGACCACTGAGCTCCACTCCTGCCTCCGAATTGTTTTTCAAAACACATTTTAAATTGAACCAGAATTTATAGTAGTCTCTTCTCTCCAGGTTATTTAATGTCTTGGTGTCAGTCCTGGAGCTTGCACTCAGAGCCTAGGTGCTGTCCTTGAGTTTTTTGGTCAAAGCTAACACTACCACTTGAGCCACAGCTCCACTTCTAGCTTTTTGGCAGTGAAATGGAGATGAGTCTCAGACGTTCCTGGCCAGGCTGACTTTGATCCGTGATCATCAGATCTCAGCCTCCTGAATAGCTAGGATTACAGGCATGAGCCACCTGCACCCCGCAATTTTTTTTTTTAATGAGTTCAAGGTGCTGATAAAAATAACAACGACAAAAATCTATTCAGACCTAAAACTTTTGTCTCTGGAGTCATACGATTCAGTGTATCAGATAACTAGAAGTTTCTTTGCTTTTTTTTGGTTAGTCATAGTGAGTTCATGGCCTAGGTACTGTCCCTGAGCTTTTCTGCTCTAGGCTAGTGCTCTACTACTTTGAGCAACAGCTCCACTTCTGGTTTTCTGGTGGTTAGTTGGAGATAAGAGTCTCATGGACTTTCAGGCTGGCATTGAACCACTATCCTCAGATTGCAGCCTTCCAAATAGCTAGGATTACAGGCATGAGCCATGCACACCATACCTTAGAACTTTCTTAAATGACAGTTTAAGTAGAAAGATTGGCTTTCTACTTAGGTTGAGCAAGGAGAAATTAGGTAATGAAAGTCCAGCTGACTTATTACTAACCTTTGAGCTTCATAATATGGCATTGCTGTGCTCACATTTTTGACTTTGGCCAGATGGTAATCTTACCTTTTTCTTTTTCTTCTTTAGAATGCATATCACAATGTGACAGCAGAACAGCTTTTTTTGAAGGACATTATAGAAAAAAACTTTGTAATCAACTTGACTCAAGATTGACCATATGAACTCAGATGGTAACAGTATTGGTTTTATTTTTGTACTGCAATCTTTAGTTTATTTTTGAATATGTTGAACTCATAAAATAATTATGTACATTGTCTGTTGCTGCCTGGTGATTTATAACCACCAGCTTAATCTCTGTGAATTTATTTATGAAAACCAAGAAATAGTTAAGATATCAGGGAAGTTTTGCTTGTGTTGTGTTTTTAACATAAGCTAGTTTTTTGGAGGTGTTTAAAATTGTCTTTTTATAGTTTCTTTATTGTAGGTGTCGGAGATGTAGTTTACCATGTTTGACTGTAATGTGTCACTTTGAGAGGAATGTTTGTCTACTGTTATAGCTGGCAGATGAGAAATTGGCAAGTGATTTTGTGTTAATGTAGCCACTCACTTGTGGATCTTAAGTTTATAGTGGTTTAATTATGCTTTTACCTCCTGCAATTAATTAAAGTCATTAGAATGAGTAATAATTTGGTAGCTAGGAAAGATGGTATACATTACAGTTTTCTTTTTAAGTTAAAGAAAATAGGCCAAACATGAGATTCTGGATGTCAATGAATTACTTAATGGCTTTGCATTACTTTAATAAAGCTTTCCTTGACACAAATAAGGAAAAGAAACTTCAAGGAAAGAAATTTTAAAGGATTATTAGATCTTTTTTGTTTTGCTTTGTTTTTTTGACAGTCCCATGTGCTCCAGGCTGGCCTTGAGTTGGTGATCATTTGCCTGGCTCTTGAGTACTGAGGTTTCTGGCATGTGATTACACGTTTGACTTAAATTTTTTCCCTTGGCTTAATTTATTCATTAAATTTTGAGTTTCTATTTGAATTGGGAAATATACAGTCTTAAAAAATCAAGATATTTCTTGACTTCTTAATTTAAAAACCCCCAAATCCAACATTAAATTTAATCTTCAAATGAAAAGTTTACCTGGCTGTTTTAGGGGCACCAGAGAAGGATATCATGAAATGCAAACTGGCTACTGCCCTTTCTGCAAGTTAATACAACCAAAAGCTATTTTGGAGAGAGAGAATAACAGGTGAAGAAATCAAATAGTAAATGTTATGAGGATGGAATTGAAAGGTGTCAGTAGACTTTCAAACAATTAATATGTGGTTAACACAGGTGTTAGTGACAACCAGGGTCAGTAAAGGAGTAAGTGGAACTCTTTTAAGCAGCCTGTAATGCAGAGAAAAAATAGTTGACTAAACAAACCTGATGTTAGTTATATGGACTTAGTTCTGCTGACAATGCATGCTCATTCAGTACTCTGGTTTCATTTGGTTTTCCTAATAACTGCAATGGAAAGGTTGAAGACTGAAATGCACATGTGTTCAGATGTGTTGAGGATATTTTCCTCACATCACAAAGCCAAGGCTTGTACTTACTGCTTAAATTGAGTTTGATATGAGGTAAAAATCAGGCTTCAAAATGGAGGTGGGGGGGCGGAATATTAAAGCAAAATGCCAATAGCATTTTCAAATGTTGCTATTAGCACTATAATACTAAACATAAAATTATGATGTTAAAACTGAGAAATATGGCAATTTATATAATATGGCAACCTACAAACATCAGTCATTTTATTTAAGTCAAATAATTTCAGCAAGACATATTTATATATATATATACTATACAATTTATTAAAAACATGAACACATTAAAATCTCACTATTTATACAGTCTAAATTCTAGCAACATATACAAATACTGAGTGACTACAGTACATGCCGAGGTAAGAAAAAATACATTCTGGGAGAATCCTGCAGACACCCAACCGTTTTTACTTCCATTATGTATTTCAATACATGTTTCCTTGCTACCTTTCCCTGTGCCAAAAAAAGGAGAAAAAAAGAAAAAGAAACTAGTCACAAGTTGGATTAAATGAGAATTGGTGCCAGAGTTGATGGAAAAGATAAATAACCATCCAACTCTGTAAATTTCGCACTTTAGGGACTTACAAATTCAGAGTCATTATTATTATTATTACTGTTATTTTCTTTTTAAGGCAGCACTTCATCAGTTCTCTTAAGAGGGTTTGAAAACCGTTCAATGTCCCACATAATCTGTTCGTTCTTATCAGCTGTCACATCTGCCAGTGTTTGCACAGCCCTTTGCTCTCCAAGGGACAAGACATAGAAGGTCAACTTTATTTATCACTGTCTACAGCTTTGTGGACACATCCATGTTTAGATGAGCTCATATTCTGCTTTCTCCTCTCTGAGTATCATAATTTTAATTCTTCTGTACTTGAACCGGTTTTTTGTTTTGTTTTCATCAGTGAATAAACCCATTTGTTCAATGCAAAGTGCAAATAGTGAATTTGAACTTCCATAACTGGGCTAGATCTGGTGCATGCAACTGGATCTATTTAGATTTACAGAATTTAATAAAATAACAAACCAGAACTCACAGTAAGGATCAAGTAACAGCCAAGCCTATAATTTTATGAAACCCACAATGGTCACACTTGCCACATCATTGTTGGCTTCTGTTTCTAAAACTGTATTGTTAGGGAAAATTTACTCCAATAAACCATGGTAACTTGAGTTAATTATTCCATATGAAGAGTAAAAATCAAGGAAATTTTGTCAAATGATTACTTTCACATTCTCAGTTGTTACTTGATTGTCTCCAATGCTATATATTTCAAACAAATAATGTACTAAAAAACAAAAATTTAAGAAAACAATATCCTTATATGAAAACTAAAGGAAAGTACAAAATCAGAAAAATATTTGAATTAGGCTCAGTTCTTCATCTGGAAAGTAAAATATATAAAGAGTCAAAACTAGATATTTTATTAAAATCATTGGTAGTTCAAGCACAGTGGCAATATGAATCAAGTCTTAAAATACCCAACATTTCAAAAACACTGCCTCACAAAAGCAAACTCCAGGGAAAAACAACCAGGTACTCTCAATTACACAAACATAGCAAGCTTCTTTGGGAAAATAAAAGTTATTGAAAACGTGTCTCTTAGAACATCAAACAGATGTAAGACAGGGTAAAGTATAATCTGTGTACCAAGTATGAATAAGGACACTAAAGCAACTGGTTTACTCTTCCCACCTGAAAGGGGATATATGCATTAATACATGTGCTTTTACACATTCATATATGGATTAATACAAGAGTTCAATATCTGTGCTTTTTGTTTCATTCTGAAACAAAATATGCATTGACTTCTCAGTAAGTGGAATTGTGCCTCAAAGTCTGGAGAAGAAAAAGAAAAAGAAATCATACAAGGAGAAAGCAGGATAACTATATAATTAAATTGTTCTCATTTGAACCAATCTTTTAGAATGTTGATGTTTAAAAGAAAATAAAATTAAACACTGTCCATTATTATTCTAATCTTGCTAACTTTTGGCAACATTATAAGCTGGTGGCATAAGTCCAAAGAAATGATAGACACTAATGGGAAAGTACATTTTAACAGTATGTCCACAAACTGAAGTTTGTTTTGAACATGGCCTGGACACCTAAGCTATATTTCGTTCAAGACTAGTGCTCTACCACTTCAGCCACAGTGCCACTTCGGCCTTTTCTGAATGGTTTATTGGAAATAAGAGGCTCATGAACTTTCCTGTCTAGGCTGGCTTTAAATTGTGATCCTCATATCTCAGATTCCTGACTAGCTAGGATTACAGGCGTGAGCCACCAGCACCTGGCAACAAACTGAAGTTTATGAAGAAGAGGATATCAAACCTGATAGATTTATCATATGGTGAGCTTCTTACAATGTCAAAAAAACATTTAAAGGTAGGTTTTGCACTCTAAGCGAATATATTACAGATGACTTCTAACTTACCTCGACTGAAACTAGTTCTGAGTAGGTCATAAACAACTGGTAATCTGGAATTTGCTGGGCAATTTCATTTCCTAGCTTGCTATTTGTTCCCTTTACATATGTGATAGGACATGCCTCTTCACACAAACAGGCATAAGCATAATCACACACTACTCAAGAAAGTGTGCTGGGTTTCTACATCTCCTAGTGGCTTACTGAGGACACCAGTGGCCTATGCTTATAATCCTAGTTACTTGAGAGGCTGAGATCTGATCACAGTTCAAAGTGACACTGAGCAGGAAAGGGTATGAAACTCTTTATTTCCCATTACCCACCCTCATCCCCCCCAAATTATTTTACTTAACTAAAAATTATAAAAAAAATACTTTGTGTGTGTAAAACCAAACAGAACAAGTAACTTTTTTAAAGGTAATTTACATTACTTTTGAGTGATACAGAATAAATAATCTCTCCTTTACTGCTTTTCAAAACTGTCAATTACTTATCTCCTGATTCTATATACTGCAGTCTATAGAACAACACTGGGGAACTGGTTTTGTTAAACTAATAAAGTGAGCACCAACTATTGATAAAATTTTACAGACAAAACGCAGCTAGCCACAAAGGGGCTGGCGATAAATTAAGTGTGACAAGATGGAGTCTTGTACTACAAAGTATTAAAGCTCTTAAACACTGTCTGCAAGTGAAAGTCACTCACCCCTCTACTACACATCAGTTTCCCAGCTATGGGTCAGGGTCAGTCTAAGACAAACAAGTATGTATGGTTGCTCTCAAAGCAATGCTTTTACCAGTAATTATTTTCAAAAAAAAAAAAAAAACCCAACAATTCAGAAAGCAATAAAAGAAAGAGGAGGAAAGGAATGAATGTACCTACTTTTCACAAACGGAGAATTTCAAGCCATTAGATATTTCAAAAACAGTACCATGCATTATTGCCATTCAGGCTTATAGAACCCTCTTGAGTTCATTAATGTACCTGCAGCTTGGTAATAAATACTTTCAGTGATTTTCAGTTTCTCTGAAGTGCATTATAGGGAGCTTTTTCTGTATTAAAAAATAGTGTTTTACAGTAGTAAACAAACAGGATATTTGAAATGTAACAGGCAAGCAGTAACTGTGCCACAGTAACACCTTTAAAGCGATGGCAAGGTAAGTAGTTTCTGTATCTTGGTCACCACATTTTCCCAACCACTTCAGTGACAGATATGTAATACATTCTATATATTACTACCACTAATAATTAAAGAAAAGCCATGTGCTTTCAATTGATGCTTTGTAAAAAGCAGCATCCCCTTCAAAGGATTTCTTTAAAAATGTCACAGTCTCCATCTCTTCCTGCTGCGGATACTTCCTGTGCACTCTGTGGTACCTGGTATACAAATTCATCTGGGGCAGCTGGACCTGACTTTCCACCTTTTGGAGTGTCATACTGAGCCCGGCCTGAAGAGCAGCTGTCAGTCCTGGAGAGAAGTACATTGTATGTCCCCACTAAAGGGGGTGGTTGGTTCCCTGTAGCTTTGAAAGTGGATGTGGAGGGCAGACCCACAGAGGCTGTGGGGCGCCCTGACATGTCCATGATGATCGGGGTTGCGTACTCAGGCCCAGTGATGGGAAGTGGTTCAGCATAGGCATGATACACTTCTGTCATGGGGGAATTGTAAGGATCTAGGTCTGCGTAGCCGACTTCTTTTCCTTCTTCTGGTTTAAAAGTAGATCTCTGGTGAAGTGTACCAACAATTCCTCCCACAAGTGGCTGTGCATATTCTGTAGATAACAGAGACACAACAGAAAAGTTACTAATACAGAGATTACACAATTTGAGGGGACAGCTGCAGGTTACATCAAAAGCACACACTTCTTCAGGTAATGCTGTTGCTATCAATAGCTTGGTTAAAACCAATTTAAAAAATTAAAGATGTCATTCAGTATCTCAAAGTAGTAGTGAAATGTTCTAAAGCCTCATTCATGTAATTTTATATAAATAGTGGTTGTTTATATTCTTTAGACTTAAGAGTAACAATGGGACAGAATAATTTCATTACTGGAATATGTATTAATCTTAGAAAATATAGTCTGAGAATTTGCTTCTCTGTCAAATATTATGAAATATTTAAAATCAATATGCATTGGGATAACAGAAAACTGTAAATCCCTTTCTTGGTTATTGTATTGTTAATACTCTGTTGTCCCCCCAAACAAAACAAATGCGCCCCAAGTTAACAGATAAAATACCCAGTCTTTAGAAATGAATGTCCAATTTATGAATAGAGTATCTAAGAAAAATGACTCTCTCGAGGTCACCTTAATAAAAAGTTTACCTGCAGAAAACAGTTTAGCTTTACAATATACAAAAAGATACTGTAAAACCCAAAGCCTTTGCTGAAAACCTAAGCAGGTCTTCCCTCTGCCCGGGTGAAGGCTGTGTCATAATTACCTGCAGAGTCTGTTTGCAACACTGCGGTGACTTCCCTGGGACTCAGGTGATTGACTTCACTACTGCTGTAGCGAACTGGAGTTTCTTCATGTTCCACTGATTTGGCAGGGAGAAACTGCTTCATCCCTTTCCACCAACCTTCACAGTCATTATAAGCCAAAGAGACCACTTACTCATGTAACAAATACCTACATAAATTATCCTTCGCATTCAAACTGATTTTCTGCCTTGATAGACTATCTCGTGCAATGGTTCAATGCACTAAAAATTTCACTGCTCTTACAGGTGGCCAGGTAGTGTGTTCTATTGTGGGAATAGTTTTTAAGTAAGTTTTTCTGAAAAAACAAAAACGCAGAACTTTTCAAGACTTGTACTGGAGTATCAGAAGCACTAGGTATATTGTAGTGGCCTCTAGCTTTGTTCTCTTCTTGGCTTCTAGCAGTGAACTCTAGAGAACCTTTGGTGTCAGGAGATGACAACCCATCACCTCTGAGATAGCAGACCTTACTGATTTCATAAACTGTTTGACTCTGCTTGGTAAGTGGCCATGGCAGAGTGACAAACACACACTGTGTTCCTTGGACCACAGTCCTTGGTTTTGTACTAATATAACAGACACATAGGAAAAGCCAAACAACAGTTCCAGAAGAAAAACCACAGCATGCGTTCTGAGAAATTTGCACTTTCCATTCCATTACTTGTTAACTAGAAGAGATTTTGCAGAAGGATAAAAATAGAAGAGGAATGCCACCTGTCTTCACTGGAGAGACCCAGAGGGCCTGAGAACAGCCTTTCTCTCACTACTGCCACCTAGAGGACTTCCCTTGTGAAAGTTACCTGCTCGGTCCCAATAAGGTAAGTCATAGGTGCCTTCAGTTTTTTTCTTTCTGGAAAAATACAGTGGCACAAAGTTAGCTAATAGAGTAGATTTTCTCATAAGAAATCTCTGAGACTGCAGCATTAATGTCAGAGTTAATAACATTTCTACTGACCGATATACATGAGTGAGTTCTCTTCTTCATTTGACTCTCAATGTTAACACTGCAGAGGCTTATACATTTTAGAATCTCATTTCCTTTTTTTTGGGGGGGGGTCCGGTCATGGGGCCTGAACTGGGCCTGGGCGCTGTCCCTCAGCATTTCAGCTCAAGGCTACACTCTACCACTTAAGCCACAGTGCCACTTCCGGCTTTTGCTTATGTGGTGCTGAGGAATCGAACCCAGGGCCTCAGGCATGCAAGGCAAGCGCTCTACCACTGAGCCACCTTCCCAGCCACCACATTTTAGAATCTCAATAAATTGAAGTTCTTGTTTTCTATCTATTAGCCACTCTTGGAATGATAAAAAGGTCAAGTCTGTAGATGAAAAGACTGAATCATATTAAAGGCTCAGCCCTGATAGGTGGGCTATTACAGTCAAATTCTGCTAAGTCTGTTAAATTTCACAAAACCATCGATTCAT